CATGTGCCAACCAGCAACAAAACGGATAGTTTTAGCATTCTTGATTTATTTTATGTCAAAATTAAATTCCTGAATGAAAGAAATTGTCCCGAAAAGAGATATCTGATCAAGTTATCGGCCGCTGCAGATTGTAAACAAGCTGTAAACGATGATGAAAGATGTCAGAGTTTCACGCTGGTTTTTTTCCAACATTTGCACAAATTATTCGGTAATATCGATGCCATAGCCTACTTCAAACCACCTGACTTCACAAATCGACAAATGTTAACGCCAATATGTGGCTACGGCAAAGAAACCTTTCTCCAAATTTAGAGCTACCACTGACATATTTCCATCGGTCGCTGTACATACATACGTTACATGCGACAACTTCGCAAATGCAGCATCGTCGTTACCGCAACATTTCTTGATCATAATAAAGTCCAGAAAACAGATCTTAAACCACTGCAGCTTGTAAAAAGTGAATGAGGTCCTCCATTACAACAGCTGCCAGTTTCGTCTGTAAGCACGAAATGTTTACGGATCGACTCGACAAAATACAGCTGCGTACAGTTTGATGTTCAATTTTCTAATTCTGTGGTAAACAAACTTCATTTTACCTTCGCATGAATATGTGTTGACTTTTCCTGAAAAACAGCTTTCATAAGTTATCATGTAATGAGTGCAAAAACTCTGTTTTGAATTGCTGCTGTTTGTTGTTTGACTGAACTGAGTTTTGAGAGAGTTCTTCGCTTTTAAATCGTGAGTCATGATTGGCTTATGGTGACTTTAGAGAGAAGACATGGCTTGATCACGGTACTAAAACCACATTTCTACCTAAAAGGCCCCGTTCTACGAAAAGTTATTTTATAAAAGCAATAGACCACACTTTCTATGGGTTTACCGGCGTGATAACCCACTTGGGATGTTGGAAGAACACAAGAAAAGCTTGTAAATCACTCGCCTTCGGCTCGTGATTTACAAGCTTTTCTTGTGTTCTCCCAACATCCCAAGTGGGTTATCACGCCGGTAAACCCATAGAAAGTGTGGTCTATTGCTTAATTAACCTACATATGAAACAAAAACAACAACAACAATAACAGCAACAATAATAATAATAATAATAGTAATAATAATTATTAGTGCTTCCTCAATCAGCAGTCCAAGTGGGGATTCTAAAATTAATTCAAGTCTGGTGGTTGTAGATAGTTTTACTGAAAATAACGGAAGAGAGTCTAATCTTGTTAAACATTTTTACAGGTAGAATTATTTTTGGCTGTCTTCGACTATGAGCTTTATACGAAGAACGCTTACGTATAGGAATGAGCCAAAGTACAACCTTGTTTACGTTAAAGAGGAACAAGAGGATGGACTAATAGTTGAAAGAGGAATGGCGTGTGCAATTGAAATAGAGATACGGGGAAAGGCCAAGTGGTTTTTATTAACAAGAAGCGACGTTATGAATAACTCACAACCTGCAGAAAATGAAGGAAATAGACAGGCTAAAGTTTCCTTTGAGCAGTGGTTTCGTCCGCTATCGAGTTGGTCAAAAAAGAAATTCAAAAAGGGGGCAGTCTGTTTTGAGAGTTCAAACGTTTGCCTCATTCCAATCGTTTTCGAGCCAAAAGAACAAGTTAAAGTGGTTCCTGAATCAGAGAATAGCAGAGGAGGCGAATTACGATCATATGTTATCGGCACCAGAGATCCGTTTACGATAGCTTAATGGGAATACAACTCACCTCAACTCACCCACTAAGCTCACACCAGGTTCGCCTGTTTTATGGACTGATAAGAACAACAGAAATCTTGTGGCTGGTGTGATTAGACAACAAAATTCAAAGCCAGAGTACTTTTTTCCAGAAATGATCAGCGGAGAAAGTCTGCAGCAACTTATTGGTAAGTCCATTAACTTTAATTTTAGTTAGCTTTGTCTCTTCCTTATCCATGTTATCCAATGGCTTGAAATCAAATTGAAATTTAGTCTTCGATTTAACTTTAACAGAAACATAATATATACCCCTTTTTTAATGATTTTGACAACGATGAAAAACCCTCTTCATATTTAACAATGTTTATCCTCACATCTACAGACTTACAGCTGCTTACATACATACATGTATGGAATATAAACAAAAACCTTTTCTCCTTTATTATAGCCTTTATGTTGCTTTAAGATTTATAACTTAAAGAACGCAGGTAATACCATGTACTCACATGGGAATACTGAAATAAAGTTGTTGTTGTTGTTGTTGTTGTTGTTGAGATCTGAAATCTGCTCTTTGAATAATACCCCAGAAGCCGGTCCAACTAGTTGCAAAGTCACCGGACGCTTCCGCAAGTGGTTCAAAGGAATTGGACTCTGGTCCAACTGATTCAAAGGAGCCAGAGGCTGCCCCAACTGATTCAAAGGAACCGGAATCCGCTGTTGTAAAGTCACAGGACCCTGGTCAAACTGGCTCAAATGAAGCAGATGTTGCTCCAACTGATTCAAAGGAACAACCAGCTGTCCCCACTGGCTCAACGGCAATTTTAGGCCACTGTGTCGTCATTGTGCCGAAATCTCTGGTATGTCTTCTTTTTCTCATGATGTTCATTCTAGGAGTGCTGGCGATGGAGTGGTGCTTCTCGTGGTTAACAGGTGAGCGGACTTTAAAGATTTATACGTTGATGATTCTGTGCTAACAGGTTGAATCTAGATAGATACCAAAGAGTATAACTGCTACAATAATCATAATAATGATGATGATTATGATGGTGACACTAATGAGAAATTAACAGGCGCGGTGTTAAGCACTATTATGCTTGCAAAACAATCTACTTACACCTCTGGCCCGGACTTTGCGAAAGATAGTTAACAAAATTTCTCCCCTAAGAAAATCGGTTTCAGAATAACATTTTTGAGCCTTTTATTCAGGCTCATCAGTTATTTTAACTTAACAGTCCAAAAATTAAGTTAGTTTTCTTAGAAATAAGAACCCAATGGTAGGACTGTCGCGACGGGTAAAAATTAATCTCAAATAATTAGCAAAGGAACTTGAATTAAGGATATAAAATACTAATCCGCATCATACCTTACATTTCTATAGGAGGGAAAGGAAACCAGAGGGAACAGCCAAAATGACTCATATAATTACATTTTCACTTCTTGATCAGCCCTACTGGATACCATGGAGTTTTGATTTTAGCTGAAGTGATTCCATGAAAGAGTACACAAAGGATGTGCATTTTGCAACTAAAATTAAATTCTTAGACAACCTTGAGTAACAAAAGGGGAACTAAATAATTGTACTTGGAGCCGACGCATTCCTGGTAAATAATCTCCGTACTCCTGACACTACTAGACTGTGAGTCAGAGGGTCCATAAAAGCCTGTTTTATCAATTTCGTTACAAAAAGAAACCTAATTGACAAAGTAACTGCACACAGCGCCAAACAGTCTTTACTTATTATGACCTTTTTCATTCACTGTTTCAATGTGTTACTCGCCTGACTGACGACTCCGCTTCAGTTTTATCCATCATTTATCATTTATCAGAGGTTTTGTAAAAGTTAACCAAGTTTCTTCGGCGCTGGGGCGATGGCAAGGCATTGATGTCCTTTGATTCGCTTAAAGTCTCCTTTCGTCGGTAAGAGTTACTACAAGACCATCACGTCACATTGGTCGTTTACTAATAAGAGACGGATAATTCGTATGCTTAATATTTTCTTCATAAGATACGGTAAAACGGGCAACAAAACATAAACATTGCTGCAAAACTAGTTGAAGGGCAGTGTTTCGCGTTTTACCCCCCCCCCCCACCTTCAAACCTGTCTTGCAACAAATTAGGTTGTTGCAAGTTGCGAAAAGGCAAGGCATTGCCAAACTTGTTTTGTAGCAAAAGACGTAACATCCGCGTAAGTCGTCACTCTCGCGCAACGTTCAGTGCTCACGCAACCTGAATCAGTACAGGCTTCAACATTGGTGAGTAAGTATTAAAGTAAGTAAGTAACTTAATTTAACCAGGGTTGCCCATTCAGCAACGAGTCTGGTATCCATAGGGGTCCTGAGAAATAAGCAGATGTATACAATTTAAATGTGAAAAGAAAACAATCCTAAGGTATGTACATGATTGAAGTCAACAATAATACAATAAACGTCCAGCTAAGTCAATATAATAAGTTTGTGCCAAGAAATAAGAAATATAACTTATAAAGTATAATCGATTATATGGTATAATCGAAGTTCAAATCTTGGGGTTACTTCAATGAGACTCTGTAGATGTAATCTAATACAAATGTTGGAGTGTTCAAACGGTATTCGCAAAGGAACGATTTGTCATCAAATACGCATTAATAGAAGCGGCGACAGACAACACAGAATATGAGCATCGGCGAGCATCGGCATTGTTGCGTATCATTCGAAATATAAGGATTTGTATGGGGTAAAAACCTATCGTTTCTGTAACCTACGAAAGTAAAAGGATTTCAATAAAGAAACAGCTGATGTTACATAAAATGTGTGTTACTGACAAATCCCCTGTGTGGTCCATGGGTCAATTTATGGCCGTTTTATGGGTTGTACTGTAAACGGTTTACCGTTCTGAAATTCTTCAGAGCCGCGGACCTTTAAAGGGTTATGCATAGAGTAGTGTGCTGCTGCTGCATGTGCACATACGGAATTTTCTTACTCTCGACGAGTAGAAGGCTGCTCGGCTGAAACTTTCCATGGGACTTATAGAATATAGACGATATAAGTGGGGAAATAAGGAATAAATAAATGACACCAGGAAATGATTTGAATGACTTAATACTAAAAGTAAAATGAAAATAAAGTAGACACTTTAAACAATAAAAAATGTAGGAAAACATTTCAGTTTTTACACTAGCTTGTCGTGTTACAAGCAACCATGCTTGCCTTAACAACTACTCCAAATCACAAATGCTTCATAGCAAGAAGAATACTTGATCTTTCTTTCGATATATCATGCATGACAAAGAGAGATCTGGGATCTGGGGACTAAACACCGGATCCCTCTTGCGTCAAAAGACAAGGATGTAACCAACGGCGACTCAGACGTAAACGAAAGGACGATTTCTTCCACAGCCGTCTAATACTTTGGCCGTTAGGTAAATTGCATCAGCCATCTTCAAAGCCTGGTTAAGGTATTGTACTTTGGTTACAATTAGGCAGTCTAATGTTACTTTATCGCCACTTACTCTTCTTAGTCTTATTATGCTAAATCAACGCTCGCTGGCCTGTCTAACACTGTGAGAGTCGGAACTGGGAAAGAGAAACAGAAGCGAAATTCTGCACAATGGATCGAGCTTCCGTAAGATTTTGAGATCGTAAGAATAATAATTCGAGAAAACCAGACTCACAAAAAAAGAGGTTCTTAATCACGTTGGTACATTTCACATTAGATTCAGGCCTACACTCTGGAATAATCAGCTCTCATTAAGTATTTCTGTTCCAGAAAAGTTCTTCGATATTATCAACAAGTAAAAACGAAAAAATCACCCGTCTGCGATTGGCGTAAACGACTTCGTTCATTATGGCTTAACCTCTGTTTTACTGTTGTAGTTGGTAGATAGATTTAAAAAAAAGGTTGAGTTTGATCGTCTGGGTGAACGTAGTCCTGAATAGGACTGTTGTTGTTGACAGTGACTGACATTTCGACAACCTGTGCGGTAGTCAGTAGATGACTACCGCACAGGTTGTCGAAACGTCAGTCACTGTCAACAACAACAGTCCTATTCAGGACTACGTTCACCCGGAAGATCAAACTCAACCTTTTGAAATGACTCCTGGGTTCAAACCTTTCACAGATAGATTTAAGCTACACACAGTTCTTTCAGGATTTAGAATGTTTAACGGTATAAAAGCTTGCTGAATTATTTATTGTCTTTATACAGCAATTTCAAGCGTCGAATCATAATTCTTTAGTTTCACATACTACAGTGTTATAGGAGGTTTTGAAAAGTTGATTCGCCGGCGATAAGTACGCTTTGTACGGAACTGGGCAAGAGAAACGAGGAGAAATTCTGTACAATGGAATTTCCGTAAGATTTTGAGATCGTAAGAATATTAATTCGAGAATACCAGACTCACAAAAAAGAGGTTCTAAATCTTGTTTATAGATTTCACATTAGATTCGAAAAATCGGCTCTCATTAGTTACTTCTGTTCCAGAATAGCTCTTCGATATTATCAACAACTAAAAACGACAAAATCACCCGTTTGCGATTTTCGTAAACGACTTTATTATTCATGCTCATTATTAATGGCTTAACCTCTGTTTCACTGTCGTAGTTCGCAGATAGATTTCAGCTATACACTGCCCTTTCAGGATTTAGAATGTTTAACTAAAGATAAACTAAGAAGATCCGCCAGTTAGACACACTTTTATGTTAGAATATTTTCGCGTAATTTATGGTGCTAATGTACCGTCCTTTCATCCGTGACCTCAAGAGAAAAACAATGCTTACATATTACTGAATTTGTCTACGGAACGTGTTTGCGTGAAACCTAAAAATTATAGGCCTAATATCTTTCAGTCAATTCCAAACAGTGGCCTCTTGTTCCAGATGTGCGTAGTAAATGATCGTTTAGGGGTTTATTTCCAAGAGCAGCCACACCGAAACTGTCCTTGCTCGTGAAGAATATAATGAATACAATATTAAACATCTACACACAAAATAAATACGGTTCCGACAAATTTAATGTGATTGCGTTTCATGAACCCGCAATTGTTGCCACGTTGTTACAGGCCAAAATATATTGCTTTTATTTTCTTTTCTTTTCGGTAAGAAATCTGAAAGAAGTGTACGAACAGGTGAACGCACTTAAAATCACTTTTTTTGAGTCTATCCCAACCAGTACACGCGGCAACTGACCTCAACCTTGTTTAATCAACTAATGCCTTGAGCAACTACTTTAAGCAATCTTGCATTTGATCATAGTTAATTAACGTGGAATGGTTGGGAAACCCTTTGTTATAGGTTTTTGTTAGCTTTTTTGGACCTGACCGTACAAAACGTTCCATAGCATTCCTATCATTTTGAAGTTATTAACCAATATAAACATTTTATTAATTTATTCAGTCATAATTTGTGAACAGAAAACAAAGGATTGTGCACGGTCAGGGAGCTTCCATCATAACCCACAGCACCATTGTTTTCAACTTTGATGTTTGCCGGGTTTCTTGACCAGTCTCCTCTACTAACTATGATTTGATTTATATAATCATTTGAAGTCATCGAACCAAATCAAATTATATATATCATTCAGTCAATTCTACGAACTCCTATATTCCCTTAGCCTGAATTTCAGACGATTACTTCGAGTCGTTTTTTACTCCCTCAGTAACGTCTGAAACGTCTAAATCGACCGGCCGTTTCCGGCGGTTAACGCACCCAGTGACGTCACTACTCCTTTGCTTTAATTCATGCAAAAAGTAAACGCGATTTTCAACTGGCAAACAAAGAAATATCTTCTGGAAATGCCTACATGATACAGAATTGGTTTGCTCTTTTTGGTCGTAATTTTGCTTTGATTGAAAAGAAGCTATTTGCTCCTTGACGAAGAAGAAAGAAACAAGAAAGAAAAGCTAACAGAATCATTACACTTAACGCTGGAAATGACAAGAGGGTCGAATTATAACTTAAGTTTAAATCGTAGAAAACTTCGCATAAACAAAATCACTTCCGGAATCACACAAAGCGGCTCTAAATGAGAAACCTACCGACTCTACGTAATGATTCTTCATTCGTAGTTCAAAAATTTCATGACCATTTCGCCATCATAGGCCGTTAGCGTTAAAGTTTTTCGTACGCGGTCCTAGTGGCAGAGCGTGGTCAAGGTTGCGAGATGAGGAGTATGGTAGCCCAGCTTTATCACTTAAATTTTTTCAGTGAAAACAAAAACACCTATGTTAAATTGATTATCATTATCGATTTCTTTTCAAATTGCACAATTAATTTAAAATGCATACTGAAATCTCTATTTCACTTTTAATTTCACTTATGTTTTCAAGGAGAAATTAATTTTCAAAGCCAAATGCAATCTTACATAAAATGTGTTTATCAGTTTTAACTAAAATTTTAATTTCAATTTTAAATGTTTTAGATCAGAAAAAAAATAGAACAAATATATACGAAACAACTACCGATGTCAAAAAACAGAAAAAAAAATTGATTCGCACCGAAAGGACCAGCGTTATCATCCCACTCGGAAAGGACTGGGGCCAGGCCTTCTATTTTTTCAAGATGGCGGCAGTATTGTGTCTTGAATGTTAAAATCGGTGGATTGCGAAAGTTATGGCCTCAAAGAATCAATGGAAGAAAGACGATCAGGTGGAACAAGACTTAAAGACATACATTAGCCAAAATTTAAAGAGATCAGAAGTTCTCGATTTCATGCAGCGAGATTTCCTCAATACACATGGAGTCTCCCAACCCTTGATCGACGTCTTCGTCACTTTTTTACTTCGTTATTTTTTTACACAAATTACGACACTCCGCTTGCAGCAGTGTCAGATGCGGTACAGAAAGAATTGGAGGGACCGGGTCGGCTACTATGCTACAGAGCAATGAATCAAAAGCTTAGAACAGAGCACACCGAAATCCGGGGAATTTTTGCTTTTGGAATCCGGAATCCCTGGCCTCGGAATCCGGAATACCGCTAGAGGAATCCAGAATCCCACTAATAATTGGAATCCGGAATCCAAGGTCCACTGAAAAATATCTGGAATCCAGTACCTAGAATTCGGAATCCACGGAGTGGAATCCAGAATCCAAGACTGTTTTCGTGTGCGATACCGTTTAAAATGCTTCGAATGTTATATAAAAACACTAAAATCTACCCATATTTATTTACATACCGACTTCGACATGTACTTATCCTACTGAACTAAAGCCTCTCAAAAGATAGAAAAAAAAAAACGTATCAGGATTATGGCAATTGAACCAAGTTAAAGTTGTATAATGTTTAAATAGATTTATTTTATGCATGCAAATAGATTTATCTCTCTCTCTTTCTTATTTTTTCTTTTTTTTTTCTTCTGGAAGATATTAGCCTTTTAGGCTACCCTGAAATTCGCGTATAAATAAAGTTCATGTCATGTCATGTCATGTCATGAGATTATTCAGGAAGATAGGAACAGTTTTTGAGTATCTAAAAACACTGGCGGTGTTTGAATTAAAGATTTATCTGACAGAAGTTTCTTGGATGAAAGAAATTCTGGGTATTAATATCACCATGACAAGCTACCAGCATTTTTTGATAACCTTTTTAAAATTGATGAAAGTATCCATATATATCCCTATAACACGGAATCTGCATCAAACATATAGTACATATCGAATTAAGAAAAACAATTCTGACAAATATTTGGAACAACTTCTCAGAAATGTAACAAAATCACGTAAGTTCGTATAACATGTTTAAATAATAACAAAGTGAAAGAGTATCCACAAAGTTATGTTTTTGGTTATAGATTTCTTCAGAAGGTTGAATTTATTAATTAAGAAAACGTTTTTTTTTTATATCAGTAAGCTCAGCAGAGCTAGCTTTATCTCCTGCGTAATTATTATGTGATAGGTTATTAATGTATGACAATTGACCACTCCAGAAAATACCATAACATACCATAATACTTTTTGTTTGTCACCCCATAATTTGCATAAGCTTTGTCTTCAGTTTCTCTTGGGAGTTAAAATGGCCCCAAGAGAAACTGAAAACAATGCTTATGCAATACTTTGGGCTAACAAACAAAGGCCATTATGGTATGTTATGGTGTTTTCTGGAGTGGTCAATTAAAGGCACTTCTTCTTCTTCTGCTTAATTTTACCTAGCGGTATACTGCAATTAACTGCAGCTGACAAATCTTGCGTATCTGACTATTTTCCAGGTACCACTCGGATGGAGCCGTTTTTGGTTCACACCAAAATATGACTGCTTTTCTGTTCAGTATTTCAATATTATACTTCTTCTTGTAGGAACAGATTCTGATGGGATCAGAACTACCCATCAACAACAGAATAGACGGAGAAAGACCTATTTTTCATAAACTATGGCGGATCAGCACGGGTAAACAAGCTTTAATTTTCTAACGCTCATCTGTCCTATAACCATAACCTGAGACATTATTCTTAACGGCCTTTTTCTTTCTTTTCTCTCCATTTCTTTCCCCCTTTTTCCTATGAGTCTTCCTTTTTTGAATGCTGGCATTGTGGAAGGGGGTTGGGTCTAATGACGTCTTTATCTTCGAAAACGCGAATTACCCCTATAGAAAAGTCAAAACTGGTCTATGAGTGTGTGTAATCAAATGGTGGCGAGTGAAATTATTGGATGAGGCTGAATATAATCTGAAGAACTGCTATGTTGCACCACTCTACCAAAACAGCGCAACCTCGTTACCAGTGCTCATAGGCGTACGGGCCGGGGGGGCGAGGGGGCTGCAGCAAATTTTGGGCAACTCAGTTTTGGGGGGGCAACAAGAGAAAATTTGGGCAAAGCCAGCTTTTAAAGACGTCTCCATGTTTATTTAATTGTTTTGAAGACCTGAATATTAACCTGACGTCGGCGTAATAATCCAGTTATATTCACACGAGACGGTGGTTGCCTAGCATGTGATGAGTAATTTACATATTTGTAGTTTTTTATTGTTGGACACTGTACTGCACTGCACTAGCTGGAAATGGGCTATTTCCAGTCATGAATTGATTAGAATAAACTTTCGCAGAATCATCTCTACCCGAAGAACAGTATATGGCAGATACCATTAGCAATGGGTCTGAAAATGAAGAAGTGGTTAATTCTCAGTTTGAATTACGAGGAGAATCTCCATTCTTTAAAAAAATCGATCGTTCGGTTTAAAATTATTCGGCGCTAATTTGTTAAAGTAGACCGAAATGTTTACTCCTTCTTTCCAGCAATCGGGCATAGCTATCTCCACAATCTTTCAAACACGTTTTTAAATAGATTAAAACTACTATGAGGTGAAATTGCATGTCAAAAGCTCTCCGTTTTCTACAGATAACGGCCACACATCAAGATTTTCCTTTTCTTACCGTTATTAACAGTATTTCTAACGATAAAAACTTCATCCCAAAATATCTCGATAACGCTCTTACGGATTTTGCTTAAACTTCACGAACATCGAGGAGACCGTATTGGAGAAAAAAGCTCCTGTGAACGATTTTCTAAGGTTCCCAGTGCCAAGAATTATTGCTGAACTAAAGTAGCTAATAATGTCCTTTCGTTGCTATGACAACTCTGATGTCATTGCAACCCTGATCATGGCAAATTCTCATCTTAATACAACTGCGGTGGCAATATTTCCAAATTTTTTGTTTATGGCGACGTAGTTTATGCTTAAACTTGGTATTGACCCTGAAAAACTGTATCGAGCCACCTTCATATGCCAGTAATGCCAGTACGGCCTATGTTGTTGCAATATGGCCCTCGTTTCTTTTCGAATCTTTGGAAACGAATTTGGGCAACTGGTGAGATTTTTTTGGGCAAATGGTTTACCGCCCCCGGCAAAAAATTTCCCGTACGCTTATGCCAGTGCCTCCTGGTTTGCCGTCCGTTTTTTTTTTGGCATGAATGCTGTACTATTGACGTCATTTTCCAGATATTGCATTCGACTTCCAAATAAGGTCAACGCTAGCTGTAGCTGCTTATGGAATATTAGCAGTGAATGAATGATAGTAGATATTAATCGATAATAAAAGGTTATGTCTGTAGGTCCAAAATTCGTCCCGGTTTATCAGTATGGCGCTAAGTTAAAGGAGCTGTGTCACGAAATTTATCAAAAATACAATCAGTGGGAACCGCCTACAAACTGACTGAAAGAAAAAAATAACTGCTCAGTGCAAAAGAGGAATGGATGGACTAACTTCAAAAAGACTGAAACGGATTGAAATTGTGGTTCTTGAAAGTTCATTTTTGTCGTATGTAACGTTTTACATAGCCAATAAGGGCGCGCAACTGCCATTATTAACAAAATGAACAAGACAACCATGACACAACTTCTTTAAGTGTTTGTGAACTGCTGAGTCCTCGCAAGTGCGAACAAGCGAGGAATTGAAAAAATCACAATTGGTATCTGTATCAGCTTCTTTAGGATGGGGGGAGGGAAGAGAGAAGCGAAAAGGAGGACAGCGAGGACATAGCTTATACAAAGAAGCCGTAAATTTGGCGAGAAAAAAAGAATAAAGGTCAGAAGATGTTAAGATGACTATGCAAGAAGTCACTATTTAAAACCTTCCTCGGTTTAGTTCTTAATTACTCTATCCCGCCTCAGCTGAATCTCATAGAAGGTCATCTCTCGCAACAAATTAAGCTGAGTGCTACAGAGTTTGAAAGCATCAATTATTCATTTTCTGCTTCTTTTTTCTTTTTTTTTTGTTACCCTTAGAGCTGTAAGAGATTTTTTCACAAAGTTGAAATGATTCCTTTAAGGAAGACGTCATAAACAAGTTTAATACTTAGGGTGCGTTCGATTGGGAAATCCGGATTTAGATTTTAAAATCAGGATTTGGGATTTGCAATCGAACGCGAAATCCGAAAACGGATTTCAACCCTGAGTTATTTGTTTTTGGATTTTCATTTTTACCGTTCGATTGGGAAATCCACAAAAGGATTTGAAAAACTGTTCTTAAGAACAGCGGTCTTGCACGCGCGCGCATAATTAGCAAAAAGAAGACTGCTGCTCACGAGAACAGTTTTGCAAATCCTTTTTCGGATTTCCCAATCGAACGGTAAAAAGGAAATCCATGATATCCGGATTTGGATTTCCTAATTGAAATCCACCCTGAGGACGGATTTCTCGGAGGTGAAATCCGTTTTCGGATTTCGTGTTCGATTGGGAAATCCGGATTTAGATTTTGAAAATCTAAATCCGGATTTCCCGATCGAACGCACCCTTAGTTTTTCAGTAACTCATAAATATGGTGGAATAAGCCATACGTACTTTTCACAGCAGGACTCGTCAAACAATCATTCGTATTATATGTAGGCGATTCCTCTGCTGAAGCATTCAGCACATTTTGCTATTTTCACTCAGTCTCTCAAAGTTGGTTTGCACGCACAAGTACAAGCATAAGCATATGAAACTAAACTGGTTCCACGAAAAAATAAGCACAAGAAAAGGAGCCTTTTAAGTTGTGGCATTTTTGCTCATACTTATATGGTATTGTCTCGTCCCTTATAAGGGAATCTGGGTAATTTTTGCGTTTGGAATCCGGAATCCTCTAAATTTTTGCTTGAGGAATTCGGAATCCTGGGTTTGGAATCCGGAGTACATCTCTAGTAATCCGGAATCCCACTAATGATTGGAATCCGGAATCTAAGTTGCACTGGAATCCATTACCTGGAATCTGAAAGGAATCACTCGCATGGAATCCAGAATCCAAGACTGTCGTGGGCTCCCCCAAAATGGAGCGATCTGTCTTTCCGTAAGCTTAGATGTTTGCTTAAAAGCACTAGCAACAAAAACAGCGCTTGTAACGAAAACCTTTTCCTCCTTCCATCGTCCTGCAATTGCCTAAAATTTGTCCTCACTAGCCTGCGTATTTCATCCGTTTTATGTTTTGTACACGTGCAAACATTCTTTTACTTGTGCTGCTGAACTCGGGGTACTTCCATTGCAATTAAAGATCATTATATTCCAGTTCGTAACAAACAATGGCCAGCTCTAAGATCTCCATGTAATGTATTTATTCAGACAACCCGCAAGTGGTACAGGCGATATAAGGAAAAGGAAAGTATCCGATGACATAGACTCAACCGTAGCAGGTAAGTTTTGGTTACTTATAGTTTTCAGAACCAATTCAGAGTAAATACCTGGAAGACAGTTCCAGCTGCCAATACACCTTACCGTTCGAAGAAATTCGAATTTTGTCTGCAAGAAAAACAGGCAATGACGCTATTGCTAAAACAATTTCTATCTCAACGTAACACTGATCACAACAAAGTTTCATCTTCATTTTACACAGCTGTCAGTGGTGGTTATAGTTTTCCCAAGTCGTTGCTAATGGCGATGTAGTTAATGCTCAAAATTCAGTTCAGGGCTTAAAAAACAAGGCATATAACAAATGTGTTGCGTTGGTATACTTTTATTATTTAATGAGATGCAAATAAGCAAGAGCTGCTTTTCTGTAATACAGTAAAACTCCGCGACTAATTCTGGATTTTAAGCCTGTTACTACTGAAATTTGCCAGTTAAGCCCCCTCTACAGAAGAACCTGTTTAGCCTAAAACTTTAAACAGGTTCTTATTTTCTAAAATCTATGGAAAACTCTGTACAATTGGGTAAATAAGATAAGCCAAAATTGTTATTGATACAATTGGAAATTAAATACAGTATATAAATTATATGAGAAATAAGAACCTATGTAGTCTAGACTTGTGCCAACCACCATGTATATAAGGACCTGTTTAGGATAAATTGGAAAAATCGGCAGGTTCTTAGTCGCAGGGTTTCACTGTACCACAAATTAGTGCAAACTTGGGAGGTATTGCCCCTGAAAATCCAGTCACTTTTAGTTTGTTAAAGTCAGTTACCAATTTTCTTCTTTACACAGAAACAAAGTTCAGAAAAACTTCTAAAAACCCACCAAAATTAGCTGAGGATGTTACTGTGCTTAGAAATAAGGATCTTCCTGCAAAGGCCGAACGCTTGGACCTTGGCCAACTTCCAGTCGATATCTTGTTATTGACTGTAAAGGACTGCGAGTTCAGAGCCTGCCTTTCTTTCATGACGAGTTTTACAAAGAAGTACGATGACGACCTTGGTTTGGTTTACATCGGGAGTATGTGCAAGTCAAGTGATAAGATGAAAATCGCCGTTATGAAGTGCAACATGGGTTCGACTGGTCCCGGATGTTCTGGAGGTGTTGTAAGGGACGCAGTCAAGGCTTTAACGCCCAAGGCGGTGTTTTGTGTGGGTTACTGTGGGGGCTTAAACCCAGACAAAGTCAAATTAGGAGATGTGGTTATTTCCGGGAAATTAATCACATACGCTCCTTCCAAAGTCACCGAGAATGGCATCGAGGAACTTGGCGATCGCGGTCCCCCAAGCACAAAACTTGGAAAGTTAATCCTGAATGCAGCTGATGGTTGGGAGGCACCGTTGCAGGATCCAGCGGAGCTAGAAGTTGAAGTAAAGCGAGGTGCGTTACTCAGTGGACCACAAATGGTTGATAACAATGAATTACGTGAAGCACTTATCAAGAGATTCCCAAACGGAATTGCTATCGAGATGGAAGGAGAAGGTAAAATGATTACACCTACAGTCTAGCAGGCAACTGCTTTAGCTAAGTTACACTGACCATGAGGAGACTGAGAAGGAGAAATGGATAAAAGAAAGAGGAAGAGGCTCTTTCCCCATTGCCTCACTTGTTCTGGAGAAAGTGATGCCTGCGAAGGAGGCTAAGTCTAACAGAAAAACCATTTCTCTCCATTTTTGCATGTTCCAGTTTGTAGGTATATATATAGATAATAGCATGATTTGTAGTGATATTTGGCACAAATACCACTAGTGATATTCAGTTCGAAATTGTTATACATAATTTCACGAGCCGTTTGGCGAGTGAAATTTGAGACAATGAGTGGTATTTATACCAGATATCACGTACAAATCATGCTATTATTTGTTTATACTACTACCCACAAAAGGTTTGTAATTTTCACATGTAGGTATTTCAAATTAGGCTGAAATACCACTGCTCTAAGCTAGTCAAATGTGTTAAGTTATACAGTGGGAGCCTAGCAATATAAAGACCCTCTATGTAATGAAGTGCTCGGTATGACGAACGATTTTCCTTACCATAGTAATAGTAAAATATCATAAAAAAAATACCCTCGACGGATATAACGAAACTTAGTTAGAGTAAACAAATTTTGCCAGTCCCCTCGGCCCTTCCATATATCGAGGTTTCACTGTAGTTGAAACGGTTATCCAACAGACTCAGAACCGGCATTACTTGCGTTTTAAAGTTTGACAAACTGCTCTAGGAGTCAAAAATTCAATGGAACAGTCTATGGAATGGGTGTTTATATTTAGAAATTTTATGGTGAAATTACTTTAAACTTCGCCAATCATTCTGTAAACTAACAACCCGTGTGAAGATCAAATCCGGGAGACAAACTCTTTAGTTTTTAGTACGGTGGATTTAGATGCCGAAATCAGAACTTTCACTCAAAAGTGTTTCAAGTACAACTCATTATCTTCACTTTCAGGTGTTTACGGAGCAGCACATGACCTGGGTGTTGAGTGGATAATTATAAAAGGCGTGTCGGACTTCGCAGATGGCACTAAGTCCGAGACAAATTCATGGAGACCCTTTGCGAGTTTAATGGCTGCTTCCTTAGTTGCTTATATTCTCAAAAATCCAATTATTTTTAAGGACTGGGGTCATTATAATGATGGAAAATCAAGTCTTCTTTCCTCCTTAGGTGAGATAATTATGGTTCATTGCATTTTGTGTAGGCAACAGTTCGGTGTTTCTGGTTATGTAGATTGAGAAGTATCATTATCATAAGAGTCTTTTCAAATTACAAGGCAAGACTCGTGTGAGTTTTCGCAGTTCAAGAAAATTTAACCCCGCGCATGCAATTCTTTAAAAACATCGTCTTGTAACCGCTAACAAGAAAAAATGAGTTAGCATCCAAGCAGATAGGTTATTATTACAAGTAAAGGGGCCCCACACAATAAGTTGAGAAGTTCATAGCCGCATTTAATTTTGTAGTGGTTAAGTGTATGAATTTTTTTGAGTTACAGCATAACGACAGAACGTGAAAGGTGGATCAATGCTAGACAAAAGCTTTTAAATTTTGAAAGTACTAACGTGTGGTTTATTGCCGTTCTTGGCTGAGAAAGGACATTTGAGCGATTTTAATAAATGTCGCGTTCCCTCCGAAAAACGGCGAATACAAAAATTGTTTGCTTCCTAATTCATAGTTGATACGTGAGAAAGGATGGCGCAGTGGTGAGAGTACTCGCCCTCCTTCAATGTGTCCTGCTTCAAACCTGGCGCTGACTTCCTGATATGAGTTTTCAGTTTGTTGTTGGTAACTTGCCAAAATTTCTAAATTCCAGTTAATGAAGTCGAGCGTAGTTTATGCGGCTGTTTAGTTTATGCACGCTTGATTGCACGTAAGATTTGAGACAATGTTCTGACCATGTGCTCGGGAGGACATGCCTCTGATGCTTGTTGCGTTTTACTGTTCAAATTCGCCTTCGTAAATAAGTGAAACCTCAGTACATGATAGGGCGCTTGCATGGTTTTTTAGTAAAATATACCATCATGGACCTAGTTTTACTTTTCGCTGTCACCAAGAGGTAATAAACTACATATGGCCACGCAATAACTTAATTCACCACATAACCAGAGTCTAATACTCTCCACAGACAATACACACCTCCTTTTTACTCTGATGATGAGTTCAACACAGGTTGTGGAAATATCGGTCCATGTCACAAATAGTACTAATTGGGACTTTAATAGAAAGTAAAGTCAAACCCCGTTAATACGGACGCTGTGGGGGCCTTAAAAATAATCCATATTAACGGCGTGTCTGAATAAAAAAGTCCTTTGCTCGTTATTTGTTTTGTTCCCTGTGGGGAGCGGCAATGCATGTCAACACAAGAAACGGCTGGGAAGTAATTCTATAAACTCTTCCTACTTCTTTACAATCATATCTAATATCAAATAAAGGCTTTGCAAATAACCTGTTGGAATGTTTCTGATATTTCATAGATTCCATGGCAACTTCATCTTCCACCGCTGCAAAGCGGAAAGAGGAGTCCCTATTAACAGGTGATTGAAATAATATAAATCAGAGGTGCAAACTGGTACAAAATGTTTATTATTTGTATCAGATAAATACCTATTAAACGATTTGTCTTTCCGTGTATAATTGTCTTTTCCTTGCCTTTCCCGGATATTTTATTTTGCGGGAAATTTGTATTTACAGTATGAGCTCAAAAGTAAGTTACCAGTCTCGTCTCGTCCAAAGAGACGATGAAAAATACAATAAACTATCTGATGGTCATATTTTTATGCTATAAAAGGATTTACAGAACACGGTGCCGCAGGAAACGCCATTAATACAATGAATACGTGAGAGTTTTTAAGAAATAAAAATTCCCGGATTAATCTATCTTACTTTTGAGTGGAACTGTATGCCTTACTTAACACCCTTACTTACTGAGTTGTTTGTTTCTTGTCTTTTACCTTATTACTTCGGTGAAGCGCAAAGTAAAGGATTCGCGACGCTCAGGAATGTATCAAAGTTGACATTTTTGGGACAAGATTGGGCACGCTAAGTCTGTAGGTTTTCGGTTTTGTTCGGCCATTTGACGAAGTGGGAGCCGAGTTAGTTCGAGATGTTTCGAAATCACTTCGATTTCTTTGATTTGTGCTTTAACTTATTCGAGCAAGAAAGAATTAGTATTTTGGTTTTCCCGGGGTTTGAGCCGACTCACCTGTGTGACCCGTCAGATCAGAGGAGACTCTACGTTGAGGGATTAGCCGATTGCGCTACTGCGACCCAAGGTAGTTCGGGATATGAAATATAGCTATGAAATTATGCACTAGTTTCGGGACAAGATTGGGTGCGCAAGTTCGTGACTTTTCGGCTTGTTTCGGCTATTTCACAAAGTGAGACCGGACTACTTCGTGATATCTTGAGATCACTTCGATTCAAGTCTGTAATTTACTCGAGGAATAAATAGAGGATATTACATGGCCGAAATTTATCTTCGAGTGCTGAAAAACATTTCACGAGTTAGCGCTCCTTTCGAACTGTTTAACGATGAACTTAAAGTTACATAATGCTGCACAAAGACGTTTTGTCTTTGTTGATTGTTACGTAGTAAAACTGCTTTCTGGAACGTTCTCTAAGTTTTTGGATTAATCATGAATAATCAATTCTTGGTTTGCACGTGACGTCACCAAAAATCAAACTAAGAAACTATCGATTCTTCTGAGTTTCTACTTTCACGAGGTATTACAGTACCCAAACACATTTAAATAAACAAATTTTTGGTTCGAAAGGGTTCTTCGTTTTGCGAGAGAGGATGCTTGAATTTCCAGGCTTTTGCGTGACGCTGCATTTAGCTGGCGGCCTGGAAAGCTCTTATGTGGGTTAAAAACATTACCGATGTTAGGAGATTTTGCAATCTAAATATTCCTTGTCTCAGAATAAATATTACCGTAATCTTTATGAGTTCCTCAAGCGAAGAATTCACGCATTAGTACGAAAACTCGAAAACAGATGTTTCTGTTGGTATCCGGCGACCATATTGGTCTTCCTGAAAGGGACACCAACATGGTGTTTCTATACAAAGCTTTATACATTTACGTAAACCGTTTTTCCCAATATCTCGCATTTGAAATATTTTACAGACTTGATTCTTGGGAAGGGTTTTTGTATATTTATCTTTTTTTCATTTCCCAGATTCTAGTCCTTCTGTATTGAATGGTTTGCGTTTTTATTTTTCATCGCGTGACAGTGCAAGCCGAGAATTAGGGCATGTTTACATTTCAGCACGAGACAGCAGATTTGCACCAGTTACTGATATCATAAAATAGATCGAAAAACTACTATTATTCTCCTGTTTAGTATTTCTGGAACCTTATGTCAAACGGTATAGAAGTTCCAAGCGAGTTCTTTTGACGAACTAAGTTTTTCCCACGAGCTGGAGTGCTGTGTTTAGTCAAGTGTGACGAAGGTCGATTTTCAAGTTCTGTGTTTACAAGTTGGCGGAAGCCGTAAGATATCTGAAGTTCACGTAAGAGTTTGTTATTATCGACTGAGGCTGTTTAATTTTACTTAAGTTCAAGTCAAGTTTGTGTTGGCTGATGCTGTGTTTTAAACCTCTTTAGTTTTTTGGTATCAATCTTCCTTTTGCTAATCCGACATCCCTGCGTGCTGATCAAAACATTCGAACTCGCAACATTGAGTTTTAGCCAATTCCATGCTCAACGTAATTGACTCCTTACCCATGCCTTACCTATCTTTAATCAGTGCATGAGACTGCCATGCTGTTTTTGAAGCCTGAGGTAAGAAAAATAGAGAATTCTTTTTTCACCGTTTGTTTTGTTAGACTTGTTATTCACCGCCAGTAACTTCATATTTGACTTAGGTCTAAACGTTTAGACCAAAGGGATCGGCCTTTTTTCAAGAAACAGGTTGAAACCTATGACAAATGTGAGTTTTCTAATTTCTTCCTGTTCCAACGAGCCAAAACGATTATTAGTGTTTTGGTAACAAGGATGATAGTAGACTGCAATTTGGCTGTCAGAGTTTTAGTTTCCTTTTGGTTGTGCGCAGCATATCAATTCAAAAACGACCGATTTTTGGCTCGCTCGCGGACACTGTGTTTAGGGCAGGTAAAATAAGAAGTTTTAGTCTGGCCCGTAGCTACTTAACAAAGTTTATGGTTTTCGAAGATAGTCCTATGTTGTGTTGTACCGCATACAAAAAATGAACTTCGCTCGTTTAATTTAGAGGAGTTTGTGAGCCTCAGAAAATGGTCAAAATTTGCTTACAAAAATGGTGTCCGAGGGGGTCCAATAAAGTGATGCTCCTATCTCTAATATAAAAGGAGTAAAGAACCTATGTTTATTATATTTGTCCATTACTCCACCTAACCTATCTATGATATTAGTATGAGCTTATTCTGTTTACCCCGTTCCGTTGACATTTTTAACATTTTGCCCGCTTTTCTCTGACAACCACTCTTACAACCATTTCGGTAAGGAATGACAATATTTTCTGGCGAAAGATAACAAATATATGTTGATTGTAAATACATTATATTTCTCAAACTCCAGTCGAAATATATGAGAATAAACTAGTAGGTATTGTCCACTTATTCGTGCTTCGATCTACACTTTTAGCGCCCTTTAGGGTACCCCCTTCCTAACGATCCAAAGTAATCTCTTTAAGCCCCGGTGCTCTAACCCATGTGCTCCCAGGATTCCTTACGGCTTTTTCCGCTGTGCTTCCATCCTTAAACAGATAATTATTTTCGCTCGTGTTAGAGCTTTTATTTCTCTCCCCTTTTGTTGTTTTAGCTTAATGTTTTCTTGAAGGAATCTACGGTGAATTACTTGCACTACGAAATTTTCGAGGCCAGATACGATGCCGCCACATCGCAAACGTAAATCACGTTCACGTTCTCGTTCACACCATTCAGAAGACAGGGACTTGCCATCTTTATCTTAACAAAAGAGGCTATTAAGCCACCATGCGAGGCTACTAAGCCATCAAACTAGACTTTGAGTTCGGGCGATGTAAACGTAAGGTCAAATGAGAACATCCTGGAGACCCTTCAAGGATTTCACCTCATTCTTGGAAAAGTTATGATCAAGTCCTGGATGTTTTGGAAACGAACAGTACTCCTTCTGTTGACGCTTTTAGCGTCTCCTACACTTGATTCAACGATCATCAACCAGATCTC